ATGTGAGCAAAGCAAAGCCCTTGTCTTCACAGAGCCTATGTTCTAGTGAGGGCAGCAGGCAGTAAACAAGGTGAAAAGTATGTATTCATCAAGGGTGATGAATATTGGGATAATCAGTAAATCAGAAAACGGGGATATAGCATCATGTATTTATTAACCCATCTTCTATTACAGGTCACTTGGGGTTTGTCCAATGTTTTGCTATTATAGGTAGCATTCCTGTAGACATCTGTAAATAAGTCCTTGGAAATATTTCTGATTATTTCCTTACAATAAATATATGGATAGGGACTTACGCATCAAGGAATGTGCTCTTCTTGGGCTTTGATACATAGTTCCAAGTTGCCCCCCAAAAGAGCTTACCAGTGTACACTCTGCCCAGTGCCCAGTGTTGGGAGGAGATAAGCTACCTGGAATTCAGTGATTTGGGGGGAGCAGTTGACTGGGGGTCACTTTGTACTGCAGTGTGAATGTACAGGGCTGCCTCCACCCCCACACCTCTGCCTGGGGTATTTATTTCTCTTACAATGCCCTTTGTCCTTTCAAGGGCTCAAGTCCTAACCAATTTTCATATCCCTCTGACCTCCCCGTCATGACACTCAGTTGTAAATTCATATTGTTTCATTATATATTTATTTCACGTGAGTTTATATCTTGCATCCCTAAAAGGTCATTTTTCCGAATTCTTGGAAAAGCTCATACTTCCTGGAGCATGTAGCAAAGTGTTACACACACAATAAGCATGTTGTGTGGTGGTCGTAAAGTGGTGGTCAGATGGTGCCCATCAGAACTGCAATCTCATGTATAGACAGACACCATCAGGTAGTGTTGGCCCCACCTGGATGGGCCAGTTTGGTCTCTTTGTACCTACACACACCTGGGATGTGCCCTCCCAGATTATGGTGGGGTCTCGGGGAAGATCTGTCATGGGAGCCCTGGCAGCTGGAGTTGGCTGGTCAGCCCAAAGGCTGTCTCTGAAATAAAGCATAAATGGCTGCTGCCTGAGGTCGCGCTTACAGCAACTTGTCTGTTTCCCGAGGCAGCCACCAAGAGGGCCCGGGCCACCAGGAGGAGCCTGCTGCACATCCCCTATGGAGAGGGCCACGGTGAGACACTGGACATCTATTTTCCTGAGGGCATGTCTGAAGGTAAGGGCCGGGCAGGTGATCCCTGGCAGAGCCCAGCCAGGCACCAGCCTCAGCCGTGCACTTTGTTTTGTCCTGTGTGCAGCCTGGCCTGTCTGTGTGTTTTTCCACGGAGGATACTGGCAGAGTGGAAGGTGAGTGAGGGAATTTGGATGAACAGAGGAAAGGGGAGACTCCTCTCCCAGGCATCTGGGTGTCCTGGGGCTCCTGCAACAAATGACCACACACTGGGGGCTCAGAACAATGAGATTGACTCTGAAAGTTCTGGAGGCCAGAGGTCTGAGACCAGGGTGTCAGCAGGACATGCTCCCTCCCAAGGCAGGGTTCCCAAGGGGAGGGCCTGTTCTCGGCTCCTCCATCTTCTGGGGCCCGAGGTCTTCCTCGGTTTGTGGCCACAGCACTTCCATCCGGCCTTCATCTTCCTGTTTTCTGTGTGTGTCTCTCTCAAATCTCCTCTCCTGTTATAATGTTACTAGTCATTGGATTTAGAATCCAAAATCCAGGGTGATCTCGTCTCAAGATTCTTAATTGCATCTGCATAGACTGTATTTGCCATCTCTCATGTCTGATGTCCTTTGATTCTCCAAACTGGCACCCTCAGAGAAAGAACGTAATTGTCCCTATTTTACAGATGAGGGACCAGGCTTAGAGTTTAAATAAAGTCTCCATGGCCCCACAGCTAGCATGTAGTGTGGTGAGGACAGAGCGTGCTGTCTTCCTGTGACACATGGGGGCCACGGAGGGGCGCTGCACTGGGTGGACAGGGTGCAGCAGCAGAGCGGCTAAGCTGTCTCCGGTTGTCACATCTTTGTCTCCTGCAGTAAAGATACATCAGCTTTCATGGTGAACCCACTGACAGCACAGGGGGTGGCCGTGGTGATAGTGGCTTACGACATTGCCCCCAAAGGTAATGAGCGTGGCCTTTCCAGTACAAGGGCCAGTGGGCTTCAGCGGGGAGGGAGCCCCTGACGCCAGCTCGTGCTCTGTGCAGGCACCCTGGACCAGATGGTGGACCAGGTGACCCGGAGCATCGTGTTTGTCCAGAAGTTGTATCCATGCAATCAGTGGGTATCGCTGCAGATTTTCCTCTCATCAGGCGAAGCTGGGCTGGGGGAGCAGTGGATTCAGCCCAGCTGCCCTTCTGGCCTGTGGAGCAGAGGGCAAACTGGGACTCCCTGATACTGGCCTGAAGCTCTAGGAAACTGACACAAATCCAACTCTGCTCTGACCCATCCCAGGGGCATTTACCTGTGCGGACACTCAGCTGGGGCCCACTTGGCCGCCATGATGCTCCTGGCCCGCTGGCCCAACCGTGGAGTCACACCCAATCTCAGAGGTGTCCATGGGGACCGTGGCCCACCTGGGCAGCCTTCACCCTCCCCTGATGTGCCAGATGGTCTGTGCCAGCTGCTCAAAATCCCAGCAGCCTTGAGCGGCTTGTCCTGGGCGCTGTGAGCTGGGCCTGCTTTGGTTTTCCTCTGTCCCCACCCTGGTCCTGCCCCTCCAGCCCTGGAGGCTGGGCTGGCCCCTCTTGCCCCACCTGGGGCCTGCGTGAGGCCTGCTGTGGGTGGAGTGTCGGCCCCACCTGCAGCCTGGCCCTCTGTCCTTCACCTTCACAGGCCTTTTCCTGGTAAGTGGGATCTATGACCTAGAGCCGATCCTGCACACCTCTTACAGCGCCCCTCTCCTCATGACCCTGTGAGCCACTTGCTCCCGCCTCCCTCCGGCTGTTCTGGAGCCTGGAGCCTGCAGGGAGAGCTGGGGTGGGGGTGGGGGACAAAGGCGTCTCTGTCCTGACCCTTGCCCACCCCCTCCACCAGGGAGGTTGCTCAGAGGAACAGCCCACAGTGGCACCTGGGAGCGACCCTGACACAGCCCGCGGATCCCACGTGCCGTGTGCTGGTGATCCTGGGCCAACACGACTCCCCTGAATTCCACCGACAGTCCCGGGAGTTCTATCAGGTACCCTGCCCCCCCAGGACCCTGCTCTTGGCCAGAGGTTGAGGATCATGTGATCTCATTATCTTCCTCTTTATTTCACCCAAATGGACCCCAAGACCATCAACCATTGCCCCTGGCATGCACCAGGGGCAAATAGTGAGCGCCTGGTGCGTGCCAGGCTTGGTGCTCCCACAGCCTCAGGCTCCCTCTTCTCTCATTTCGGCATCCAGACACTCTGCCGAGGTGGGTGGGAAGCCTCGTTTGAAGAACTCCGTGACGTGGATCACTTTGAAATCATTTGGAACCTGACCCGGAAGGACTATGTGCTCACCCAGGTGAGGCGCGCCCGCTCACCATGCACAGCATGGATCCTGCCTTAGCCCCTCCTCAGCAGGGCAGCTGGGCAGGCAGGGCGCACAGAGGAGCCTTCTGGAGCGTTCTTTGGCATCTGGGAGGTGGGGGTCCTGACAATAGGAGACCACCTATACTTCACTTCGTGCTGAAATGGCCCCAGGCAACCTATACCTGGGCGCTCAGGTGGGGTCAGCATGGCCTGGGGCTGTGGGGGGGCACGGGCAGGTACAGGGGGGTGTTAGCCTGTCTGTGTGTAAGCCTAAAAGCAAAGCCAGCTCAGCACAGGAAAGGCGGGTGACTTTGGTGTATAAATGTTTATTACAATTTTAGTGTGAAAAAGCCCTTTAAAAGTCAGAGGATAAATTGGGGAAACCATTAGCATGCACCTGGAAGACTTAGTTACTACTTTTTTTCTTTTTCTTTTTTTTTCTGGGAAAGTGGGCACTTGAGTAGCTCCACTTTTTAATCAGCTACCACCTTAGTGGGGTTTTTATTGTATTCGGTTTTACATAGTTAATATCCTTAAGACATAAAGAGCACTTTCCAACCAATAAGAATGGTTCTTCTCTTTCAGAACAGAAATAAATAGGCAAAATGGACAGAGAATAAGAGATAATTTAAAAAGAAAACTAATTGGCCAGAAAGCATGGGGAAAGTTAAATTGCATTAGTGGTCATAGAACTGTCACTTAAAATGACAGTCCTTTCCCTTCTCTCATTGAAAATGTTATTACGATTATGCCCAGCACTGGTGAAGATGTAGTGAAGGGAGTCCTCGCCACTCCTGGTGGGAGCACAGCCTGGCAAAATGCATCCAAACCTGCTGAGCCAGTGACTCTGCTGCTTGGAAACTGTCTTCAGCTTAATCAAACACACAAAGATAGTCTCTGCAGCTTTTACATGCTCAAAACTTAGAAACCTTAATGTCCAGTGAAGTCAAGTTATGATATAATCGGGTAATAAAGTGAAGTTTGTGAAAAGTAGTTAGCATAGGTCAGATTGATTCAGCTAGGAGAGCAAAAACACAGGAAACAACTGGTCCAGTGTATTTCTAGTTTTAAAATACATGGACAGCTATAGACCCTTGGAGGCATAAATGTGCATATAAAAAAGCCATTTACCAGTAATACTGTAAGTACATTTTTGAAATCCATTTTCACATTCTCTACTAAGAACATGTATTGCTTTTTTTATCTGGGGAAAAAACAAACACCTATAAGTGACATCTCCTGAAAAACCTAAAAAGTAAATATTTTAGGTTTTGGGGGCTGCACCATCTCTGACACAATTACCCAACTCTGCCATTATAACAAAAGCTGCCACAAACAGTTTGTAAACAATGAATGTGGCTCTGCTCCAATAAAACTTTATTTATGGATGCTGAAGTTTGAATTTTATATGGTTTTTACATGGTGTGAAATAATACTCTTTTTTATTTTCAACTGCTTAAAAATGTAAAGCCGTTCTTGGCTTGTGGGTCATACAAAAATGGGCATCGAGCTAGAGGTAAGCCTACGTGTGGTTGGGAGCTTTATTAGAACATTTCAAATGAGAGATGGGAAAGGGCTGTCACGTCAAATGCCGTGTCTGTGACCACCGATGCAGCCTGTTTCTTTAATCAGATTCTTTCTGAGAGGTTCTCACAAGAGCTTCTCAGTTCTGGGGCTTTTGGGTTTTTTGCAGATGATTTTGAAAACCATCTTGCAGGAGTTCTGATGGCACCTGAACCCCAGGAGGCGTGCAGCCTGACTGTGAAGCTCCTCCAGCGAGCCTGCCCGCCACCCCGCCAGCCCCAGGAGTGCCTGTGGGTCCGCTCACCCTGCCACTAGCCCATCCTCGCTGCTCTGAGCACTGCTAAAAACCTCCGCTCCGTGGCCTTCCCTGGCCTGGACCAAGCGGCCTCCAAGGAGGGGCCAGCCCAGGTCACTGCTGTGGGATGCCCAGAGCTGCCACCTGGCCAAATCTGACCCCTCTGCCTGCTGAGGAGTGACAAAGGTGACAGCTCCTAGCCATACCTGGACTTGCCTCTGGCTGACCCTTCTGTCAGAGCTCCCCAAACCAGACTTCGTTCTGTCTTGTCACCCCTTTATCCCCTCTGTCCTAGCACCCTGTGACAGATAGGACAGGCTTCTTCTGCCCCCCAGGGGTGTGTGCAATTCCCACGGACCCACCATCTCTCCTCCACCACCCTCCACACCCCACTTCCTCTCTCCCCCACTCTGAATAGCTAAGAGTTCAAGAGTGATTGATGACTGCAAAAATAGGAAATAGCCTAAATATTCATCAGTAAGGAATAAGCAATCTCACCACCATGTAGCCATTAGAAAGAGATCTATGTTCAGCACATTGGAAATCTCCACGATGTACTGTGACATGACAGAAAGCAAGATGTTCAGTGATACAATATGGTACTATCTCTTGATGATGTCATAAAATGTACACCCACAAGGTGACGTGTTCCCTTGCACATGTGTGTGGTGTAGGGAAGAGCCTGGGGTGGCCCACACCTCATGCCTGTGCTCCTCTCTGGGGATGGGGACACATGAAGGTGGGTGTTTGCTTTGCTTTCTCTGGATTCTTTGAGTCTTTTAGGATAAGACTGAAATCAGCATTTAAACGTAGTATGTAATTTGAAACATTAAAATATTCAGAAAGCTTCCAAGATGCAGGCAAATGAGAATGACATTATAGATGTAGCTTGAATCCATTCTAGATTTTTAAAGGAAATGACTCACAGATTGTAGGCCTTCATTTAATATTTGTAACAAATTTCTCAGGAGACATCTCTGGACTGCTGGCAGGAGACCCAAGTTGTCACCACACCTGGGTTTGGAAATTATTCCCTTAGCTTATGCCCTGTTCAGGCAAATGCCTTAAGGGAAGCAAACGACAGAACAAAAGTGCACTGCCTGCTGTGTGTTCCTATTTTCATTAAAATGAATATGTAGACATCTATATATGTGACATACTATATGTAGCTATCTATAGATATAGACTGTGGATTAGGTAACTATCATTGTTAAATATCCTGGTTTTGACACCTGCACTTGGCTATATGAGAAAATGAACTCTTTACAGTAAAGAGGCATAATGCCTTCTTACTGTTAAATAATTCAGGTAAAAAATATAGGCACACATGTATGCATATGAGATATAGAATACATATGTACACACACTCTGATCATATATATTCTCTCTATATATAAATATAGGTAAATAGAATGAAAATGATAAAGTGAATGAGGAACATGTAAACAAAACCTGGGTAAGGGACATGAGTATTCTTGTACTACTAACAACTTTAAGATGATGACAAAATTACCAAAAAGTTGTGACATTAAAAGAATAGAAGCCAGCAGCCGCTCGTGAAGGCCTCCTATTTCTGGCCTGGCCATCCGCTCCCCGCTGCAGCCTGCAAAGTGACTTCAGAGCACTGTCCCAGCACAAAGGACACAGACTTTTTTCCTGTAGGCTGCAGGACTTCTGCTGCTGGGACACCTACTTTGAGGAATGGGGAGTCTGCCCGCGGCCCCCCCCCACAGTCTGGTATTCCCCTGCTGTCCTGTAGGTTTGTCACCATGGGGGCCTTGCCCCCACCCTCCTGGATACCCAGTCTGGGTGATCAGGGGCTTTGAGCTCTGTCCTTTCCTGTCCCTTAGTCCTTCAAGCTTATTTGGAGTTTTCTGTGTGACGTCAAAGCCCTGTGAAGCTGTCCTTCCTGACCGCGGAGCAGGTCAGGGCCTGTGTTGCCCACTTTGGTTGCCTAGCACCCAGGGGCGGCTTGCAGATCTGTTCCTAGAGCCGGGTTCACTCCCTTGCTCCCTGTCCTTTGCAGACATCTGCCAGCGACTCCAGGTCTCCATCGTTCACCCATAAAAGAATCTGGGTGGGGCATGGATAGGCAGGCCGGCAGGCAGAGCTGAGACTGGAAGTAGGTTCCAGCACGTGGGGAGTTTGGTGTGTGATGACTGGCGGGATCTCAAATCCATTGTGCAAAGCTGCTTATCAAACAAAGTGTGGGGGTAGCAGACTGACTCTAGGAAGGCACGAATCCAAACACTTTTCCCCGCACCTCCTGTCGATACACTTCTGGAGGGGTCCAGACTTAAACATAAAAACCCAAAGCAGAAGAAATCTTCAATGACTTATAAATCATCTGAGTGGAGCAAGCGTTTCTAAGCATGACAAAAAACAAAACTAAAGAAGCCGAGTCGTTATGTCTGCCTAAACATTAGAAACTTGTGCAGGAAAAAAAAAACATGACAGTCCAAAGACAACAAATTGGAAAGGGGGTGAGTGGCTGGGGGAGAGGACAGATGAGAGAAGCCCCTTGTGTATAAAAATTCTCATCAAACAATAGGAAAAAAATCAGTAACGCAAAAGAAATGTGGTCAAAGACAAGAACAGGCGATTCATGGGAAAGGAGTTTAGGTGACGGTAAGAGAGCCGCCCTCCGTTTGCAGTAGAGATGACTTTAAACAAGGACGTGCTGTTTGCATGCTCCCGCCAAGACCAAAACGTTTGATGTCCCGCAGCGTTGCCGGAGAATGGGGACTCGGGCCTTCCAAGAACGTGGTCTTGACCTTGTAAAGTTAACTAGGGAGAACTTTGACCCTGAGAACTTAGCAAACAATAAAAGTAACGCAGCCTCACCCTGCTTCCTGCCTCTGTGTGGGTCTCTGTTAATTTCTGTGTGATTTTCTCTCACCACTCTGTTTCCCAAACTTGTGAATTTTTTTCCTGTGAATTAGGCTGAGAAGTAGATCCAAGCTACCAGCTTCTTACCCAGTTCATAAAGACTGTTACTGGTAGAAATGAACAAAATTAATTTGACAATGGCTAAAACTACACATGGTAAATGTCTTTACTGACACTGATAGAAGCATCAAAGGTTTTTTAACTTAGATGTTAAAAAGGTGACCCCAGACAATAGGAACTTGCTAGAAAAAAATGGCTCAAAATGGCAGGCGCTATCATTGGTAAAATGTGATATAGCTACAAGTTGAGTTCTGAGTTACACATTTGTTACAAAATCTTACAGAAAATGGGGAGTTAGTGTTTAATGGGTAGAGTTTCAGTTGGGGAAGCTGAAAAAGCTCTGGAGATGAATGGTGGTGATGGTTGCATAGAAATGTGAATGTGCTTAATGCCACTGAACTACACTTAAAATGGATAAAATAGAAAATTTTGTTACACGTTTTATCATATATAATTGATATATATATGTATGTATATATCTGTCAAAGAATGATCTAGAAAAAAGACGGGGACATTCCAAGTATTTCAACTTAATCGTTACCACTTGTGGTTACCATAGAAACTCAAAGTAACCAAAGCCCAAAATGTTGAGATTGCTCTGCATATACAATGTTATGATGCACATGAACTTTATAATAAATACCTGTGTTATAGATGTTACTCTTGTACATGAGAGATACAAGAAATAATAATTAAATCTTACGGAAAAGACCTAAGCAGTTGAAGTTTCCAGGACAATAAAAATATAAATGGAAAAAGTTGGGACTTGTTTGTGCCAAATAGGAAATGAACCACAGACATACATCGGCCTGATGGAGTTTGCTCCAGAAGATATATTTGTTTGGTGAATGTCATCAATTTGGTAGAACTCATATGAAAACATCCTGGGATTGCTGGGGTGATGAATTCTACTCGGTTCTCATCCCACTGCAACAAAGAACTGAGGGACAGAGACACAGCAGGGAAACACAGTGAAAGTTTTATTTGAATGCACTCTCAGGGAGGAACAGGCTAGAGACAAGGTGGAGAAAAGCAGGCTTGTTTGCTTCTTTGGGTGGGACAGAGTGAAGACTTATGCTTAGAGTCTGGAAAACAGAATGGAATAACAAAATAACAAAGACACCACTGGAGTAAGGTGAGCAGTAAGGAGTCTTTTAGAGATGCACACCCCAAGAAGGGAGTGCGGGCAGCCTCAGAGAAGAGGTGCACTTAAGGGCTTAGGATTCTGTCTTTGAAGCCTTTCAAGAATGGGGTAAAGGTAAAGGGTCGGAGGTGGGGTGTGTAGGCTCGTCAGGTGGTCTCATGACATTTATCTCTGGTGAGAGACAGTGTGTCATTGTCTATAGCCAGTCCTCTAGGTGATTCTGTAGGACAGACCTTTTGTTCCTCTCTAAGACAGTGGCCACTCCCAAGTACTGGGAACACAGGTAAGGCTGCTTGCTTGCCTTAAGATTAAGTCCTTCTTGTTCTTATTATGCTAATCTTGGCATTTTTTAAGAAAATTAATCATGATGGTTGTCTCAGGTCTCTGCCCTATCTCACCTGCATTAGCTGGAGCCAGTCTCAAGGTCAGCCCAGATTCAGAGCATGAGGAAGGAACTCACATTGCAAAGGCTGAGTCCTTCTGAGCTCTGGCTTAATCTGATCAACTCCCTGAGTTCTTGGTGGGCTCCACCCTCTTCAAATCCTCGTATCTGTTTTTCTGCTTGACCAGATGAAGGGGAAGGACCGTATCCTGGACAAGATGGCAAAGCAAACCGTGTTAAATTTCTGGTGATTGAGAGGGTCTGTTGGCTGTATACAAAAATTTTTAAAGGGGTGCATACACTTTTCCAACAATCACGCTTATAGATGTTTATCCTACAGGCATAAGTGCACACGTGCATGTCAGAAGTCCCATGGTTCTGAGTGACTCAAGCTCCAGTTTACGTCTGAGGAAACTGAGGTCAGAGAGGCCAGGCGACTTGCAGTGCTGGAAGAAGTACAAGCAAGTGCCAATTAGATTAATGCCCATATCCGTGGCCCCTGTACACAGATGTAGGACTCTGGCTTCTATGAGAGCAGTAAAGCAATGTCCTGCACACGTTGTGTTAGCATGGAACCTGTCGTGCTCTATAGGCACTCCCCTGACTTATTCCCACTGGGCTGTTTGCACTTGGAACAATGCCTGGAGCAATTAGCACTCACTGAATGAATGAATACATAATAAGGGGTCAGTAATAGGCTGTCATCACACGACCCAGCTGGAGTGTTCCAGACCCGCGTTGGGAGGTAGATGAGCCGTGTTTTAGATCTGCTCTGATGCCTCTTGACCTCATTTGACTTCACCTAGACCTGTTTTCTCATCTGTAAAATGGTAAGTTGCAACACATAACAGAAAAAAGGCAATTATCATATAGCTGTGAACTCCTCAATATTGATAAGAAGGAACAACACAATAGATACGTGTACCAAAGATACATGTTGGCAAAAATTTAAATATCTAGTGCTGTCAGGAAACAAGCAGGCAGATGGGAATGTGTACTGCTACAGGTTTTCAGGAAGTAATGTGGCACTAGGTATTAAAATTGTAAATGCACATTCAATTTAGAAATCTAGCCCATGGAAGCAGAGGTACCAAGACACAGGGGAATTCATAGAAAGTATTGCAGTGTTATTTGTAATGTTAACCTTAAAATAAAACTCAGTTATTTAACTAGCAAAATGGGTTTGCTGGGGAACACCAGAGAATTGCAATTAGCAACAAGCTAACCACAATAAAACCACAAGCAAATTGGGAAAACTAAGGAGAGGACTTCTTTCATAGAGGACAGTACCTTGGGCAGGCGAGAGGACTGTTCCAAGCAGAAAGCCCATTGGAGGAAATGGGAGTCCCATGTGTCATGGCTGCTCATTGGATAAACTGTGACTGTCTCATTGCCTGGGCTGTTGCGGGGAAGCAGAAACTCTTCTCTCCTACTGGTTGGTAAAGTAGGCAAAATAGTTTGGGTTGTAAATTGTCTCTACTTTGGTTGTGGTGTTGGTTTGGGGGGGGGGGGTCTGCAATTGACAAGGCATGATGGGCGTGAGTGCTCCCCCTGCAGACACTCGAAGTCAGTGAAGTTTCCCTTTATCAATTTTCACTTCACAAAATTAGAAATCTAAGGGCCCAACCAAAGGGCATGGGTGACGAAGTCTCAGCAATAGCTGTTGACCTGAAAGGATATTGTAAGTCTGGGCAAAGGAAATCCCTGGGCAAAATACCTCTAAAAAACCAAAATCAGTCAAAGGGAGAAATAAAGTTTAAAACCGGTTTATTGCTTACAAACTGCAGTCCCGTGCCGTCTCTCTCCTCTGCTCCAGAAGAAGCAAGCAAGCAAGCCAGCCCCTCCCCTTAACCTCTCAGCTTCAGACACGCCCTCGGTTGCCCAGGTTCATTGACGTGGAGATGAACTTCTCCCCATCCCTGATGTGCAAATGTACTAAAGCCAGGCGAGATATTCTGGAAATGTTACAATTTTACCCACAGATATCTAATTCCAAAGGAATTCTGGCGGAAAGGGAAGAACAAAGGGCCAAGTGTCCGTTTCTGAATTTCCAGTAAGTTTCAGAGAACAGGCGATAAATGGAGGAGTTAATAGCTCTAGCTCCCTCCAGCAAGGGTGGGGGGTAGCTGTGGACTTCATCTACGTGACATCTTCCCGCGGGGTGCCTCCGCACACCTCGCCTACAGGCACAAGGGCTGGGGCTGCTGACACTCGCGGGGAGCTCCGGGAGTGGGGCGCCCACGGAAACATGGAGTCTGCAGGCTGACAATGCACTCGACAAGGGTCACTCCTCGAACCCGTTACGGGGGCTTCAGCGTATCCTCAGCTCCTCTTCACGTCACTCTTTGCAAGCAACCGTGGGAAAGGGAGAGCGCGGGGTTGGGGTCTCTCGTGTGCGTAGCCAGCAGGACAGCCGCGCGGCGGGAGGACTACAACTCCCAGCGAACCCCGCGCTGCCCAGCCTCGCTTCCCAGAAGGCCGCGGGCGGCGCGATGACCGGCGGGCGTTCCCGACAGGCCCTGCGGTGGTCGCCAACCGCTGGGTTTGAATCGCAGCTCCACTCGGCGGCGCCATGGGCGCTGCGTCTTTGCCCTCGGCCTGGCAGCTCTACCTCAAGGACCATCGTATCTCTACGTTCAAGAACTGGCCCTTCTTGGAAGGCTGCGCCTGCACTCCGGAGCGGGTAAGACTGCGCGGCCTCCCGGGCTCCGGCCCGCCCCACCGGGTCCTGGGAGGCCTGCCGGTGCCCGCCCGCACCTGGAACCCGACCCTCCCCGGGGCGACCCCTCCCGCGGGGCTCCTGCCCGCCCCACCGGCCCCTGGGAGGCCTGCTCACTCCCGCCCCGGCCCTGTGTGGCCGGCCGGGACCTCAGCGTTGCTCTCTGCTTTGCAGATGGCCGCGGCCGGCTTCATCCACTGCCCCACGGAGAACGAGCCCGACTTGGCTCAGTGTTTCTTCTGCTTCAAGGAGCTGGAAGGCTGGGAGCCAGATGACGACCCCGTGTAAGTCCCCCAGGCCAGCCTCGCTGGGCTTCTCCGCGTGCCCGCGCTCCATTCGGAGCTTCTGTTTCGAGCTGGGGCTGGGAAAACGATCCGAATTTCGGGTACTTAGTGAAGGAGCCATGCTTTCCAGGCTGATGCCGTGAACAGCTGTTGAGAATGGATGAATCTGGGTGTTGGCGCCTTGGTAATGCTTTCAACCTAATCAAACCTGACTTAGCCAAATGTCCTTCGGGGCGGATGTAGAAGAAAGGCTCGATTCTGAAGTTATTGGATGCCTTTTAGGTTCAACAGAATAAGGGAGTATGTTGGGACCTAGGAATGTCCACGTGTTTTCTTGTTTTAGAGTTTTTAAAATTTAAAGCGTTGTTGAGTTGTAGTTCACACACCACAAAACCACCCTTTTTAAATGGTATATACTTCATTGTGATTTTGGATTTGGTTCTTAAAGGCACCTGGTTTTTTTGTTGTTAATTCTCTTAATTCTGTGTACATATTCAGATAGACCACCATTGTTGTCTTTTTGCGATGGAATGACACATTCCTTTCTCACCCTTTTTCTCCTTTTCAGAGTCGATTGCTTCCACGACTATTTTAACTAGAAAATCGGTGGAGTTGTTTCTCTTCTTGGCCAGAGGAGTGTTTTAGTTTTCCCTAAAGTGTTTGCTCTCGTGGCCGGTATTGACCTCCGTGGCATGGTGCTCATACCAGGGTTCCTGGGGGGAAATACCGGTTGTATTCTTGGGAGTGAATGTTTAAGTACTATTCGGTTTTCAGGTGTTAGTTACTCTTGTCTGTCCTTGTGGACCTGGTGTGGCTGTGTGCTCATGCCAGCACTGCTCTGGTGGCAGTGCTGTCTGCTCTGCAGGGATGATTCCCAGCGCAGAGGATGTTAGGAGGAGGCGGAGGGGTTCACTGGAGAAGCCTGGCCAATGGTGCCCTTAGCCTGCCCAGCAGTGATGTCACAATTCCAATTCCAATGAAATGAGATTCCTTCACACGGTTCCTAGAGGATTTTAGAGGTATTTGACATGTGATACCTTTGGACTTAGACTGTAACACGTTTCCGACTAATTGCTAAAAGACTCCAGATAAAACACATTCGTCACAAGGATGCAGGGCGAGACAGCCACAGAGAAAAGGCTGGCAGATGCGCTGTGGGAGTGTGGCTTGGGGCTGGGCACTGGTGGGCATGGGAAGGCCTGTTGGTGACCAAGGGTTGCTTTTCTCCTCTCCCTGAATACCTTTGTTAACACGTGCTCCTCTGTTGATTTTTCTAGAGAGGAACATAAAAAGCATTCTTCTGGTTGTGGTTTTCTTTCTGTCAAGAAGCATTTTGAAGAATTAACCCTCAGTGAATTTTTGAAACTGGACAAAGAAAGAGCCAAGAACAAGATTGTACGTATTGTTGGGAGTGAGAACCAGGAGCAAAGCCTGTTCAGCGTCTTGAACCCCAAACACTGGAGGGACCCTGGTTTCCTCAGCACCCATTTTTTCAGCCCCTCAGATGTGTATGTGAGGATGTAGAAGCATGTGTCCTGGAGTGCAGTCTTAGGGTGTGTTCAGTGTGAGGTGACCCCTGCTGGTAGGACACAGCAATGGTTACGCGGGCCTGCCTGCCTTCAGAACGGTGAAGACCAGACAGAGGTCACTTACATGGTGTGTGTTCACACTTGAGCAGTGGTGGGAACGGAGCATGTTGGGGAAGTGCATTATATGCATTGGAAAAAGTGGGCAGTTGCCTGACTGGACCTTGAAGGGGCTCCTGCTGATGAACTTGGACTCTTAGACAGGTTATCAGTGGGGTGGAAGTGAAGCAAATCCACACGGGGTTAGGGTTGCTGGAAAAAAGCAGGACACTCAGTTAAATCTGAATTTCAGGTCTACATGGGCTAACTTTTTAGTATATCTCACAATTTTGTATGGATGTTTACTAAAAAACTGCTTGCTTATATGAAGTTCACATTTAACTGGGCATTCTCTATTTTTATTTGCTATATCTGGCAGTCTTAGAGAGACTGTATTATCAGGTGTTTAATACTCCTGTAGTAAAACGTGGGGCAGGGAGTGGAGGCATCCTGATTCTTTCTCTGTCATTTGCAGACTTTGAGTGGTTAGGCCAATCTTGGCTGCAGTCTCCTTGCTGCAAAATGCAGGGTAGACCCCATGTCTTCTGAGGTCCTTTTCAGCTTGAAAGTTGTGTTCCTTTTTAGAGATAAATAGGAAATAAGTCTGTCTAATGCAGATACTAAGGGCAAAATCTTTTTTTGTCAGGAAGGGAAAAGAAATTGGTGGTCAGTAAAGGGAATTGTAGAAGAGCTATTGCAGTCCGTGGAGGTCTTGCAAGCTGTAGTGCTGAAATTGGGAAAGGTACTGGGGGCTAGAGAAAGCCTCCAGGTCAGGGGTCAGCACACTTTCTGTAAAGTGCCATAGGTAGTAAGAATTTTAGCCTTCATGGGCCTCATGGTTTCTGTTAAGATATTATCCCCCACTACTGTTTAAAACCATTGGTAAAAACCACTTTTAGTCCACTGGCTGTACAGACAACAGGCCTGGACCGCATTGATGTGCTCACAGGCCGTAGTTTGCCAGCCCCATTCTAGGTGAAAGACCAGTTTGTATTCATAGAGAGCAATCACGACAAGCGGTGCCTGAGCAGAAGGGAGGCAGATGAGGGTGCTGCCACCTGAGGCTGGAGCCACATGACGGAGCTGAGGAAGGCCGAGGGGGGTAGGGACTTGCAACAATCAGGGAGACACCAGTGTTGAGCGGTCCGGCTCCACGGCATTGGCTGAGTGCCCGTGCACCCCAAGGAAGGAAGGAGGGTGACTTGGCGGGCGCAGGAAGCCTGACCGGAGATGCCCCACCTCCGTGGTCTGTGTGTACAGCAGGCCTGGAGCCCAGTGTACATGCCTGGGGAGCAAAGCAGGGAGAGTGGAAGAAACTGTTCTGCTTTCATTTTGCAACTGTTTCATTCTCTGCACATCAGAATACAGAATACTTTAGGATTATGCATTTGTTTTTATTATACTTTGTTTAATTACAAAACAATATAAGCTTCTGTAAGGAAGAATAAAAAGCTACATCCCTATGCTAGGAGTAACCGGTATCTTTCTTTCCAGATCTTTTTAAAATGCATGTATTTTTAAAGAAAAATTATTAAGTTTAAGGTATTCATACTTCCCTTAGTCGGTTTTTAAAATAGGCAATAGAAAGGCATTTTTTAAGCCTGTGGTACTCAAGTGCACTCTTGTGATATCCTAGAGCTTTGCAGTCCAGCACTGTGACCATTGCCTCCTGAGAATGAAATAAAACTCAGAATTCAGTTCTGCAGTCACACTGGCAGCACTGTACCTGCTCAGTGGCCGCTGTGTGGGGCCATGCAGATAATAGAACGTTCTCATCACTGCAGACCTTCTGTCGAACAGCACAGCTCTAGGATGTCAAGCAATTGTGAGGTTTGTTGCAGATAATTTATGACTAATAGAGAAACTCAGGACCCCTGGTGTCCCCATTGCACTTCCCTGTGTGAGTGGAAAGTTAGCCCTGGGCCCAGAGCTGAGTGCAGGGAACAGGCGTCACCAGGCCTGTCTGCTTCTGGGGAGCCACTCCTGGGGGCAGGCTAGCAAGCAAAACTGCTCTGTGGGGTAAGGTTGGGAGCTGATACTAAACCATTTAAGTCATTAAGTGATTGCAGTACATAGTTCAAAGTAATTGTTTACCAGATATTCTCTAAAAAGAACCAGATGAAATAATGGTGTGTTGTGGTTGGTATACAAATACTGAAGACAAGTAATGAATGTTAGGGACTGTGAATTTCTGAGGCCCCAGAGTTAAATGTGAGGTGCTGCTAGTTGGTTTGACAGGGTCGCTGGTCCGGCAGCCCTCCTGGGCCCTGGGGCCGGGAAGCTGTGCTCCAGCGGCAGAAGCCAGGGCCTGAGGGATGTGACCTGGGAGCACGCCGCATGCTCTGCCACTTGGTTCTTGCTGCTGTGTCGCTACCTCTGTCTTTTGGGGAAAAAGGGGAAATAAATTAGAACCAATTTGAAAATAAATCAGTTCAGGGAGTAAATGTAATATGGGAACAAGCAGAGAACTTCCATGTAAGACCCCCTGTGATACGGGCAGACAGGCGCTGGAAGAGCTGAGTCCTGGGCGCTGAGCGGCAGAGGTTTTGCTCAGTGAGCTTTATTATGTTTTTCAATAGTGAGTTCTTGCTTCACTTTAAGCCCCTTTATTAGAAAATGTATAAAATTTGGTGTGGTGGTTAAATTACTGCCTGTGTACACAGAGGCTTAATTTGGGGCTGTTTTGAAAGAGAAGAGAAAAGTAAATAAACAGCGTATTTCCAAAGGCCGTAGTCGTCTGCCCTGCTGGTGGCCGTGAGGCCGGTGGGGCTGCCCTCTCCAGGGCGCACCCTTACTTGTGAGGTAGTTTTTTCTCCTTGTCAATTTGTTGTTTTTAGAATTAGTTTTCCTTTAATAATTTAAAAATAAATAGCCCTTCTATGGGACAAAATTTAAGATACACAAAAAAATACATATTGGAAAGTAAGTTTTTGAACATTAGCCCCTATCATTTTCTTTTTAGAAAACAAATTTCACCCAATAAAGTTGTGTTGCTTGTTCTTTAATGTGGCAGAGAAGTCAAGGAGAATAAGAACTGCGGTCGGGAAGGAGGTCGTGGGTCGGCCAGCGTCACTTGTTTGTTCCCTGGAGAGCACGTAGCAGCCAGGCCACGGGGCCGCTGGGGCTGGACGAAGGTGTTCTGCTTTACGAGGAAGCTGACGCGCGCCGAGAGGGGGGCTCTAGGCTTGCCCTGCGGGGGCTTCAGAGGCAGTGTCGGGCGGTGTGAAGAGAGGGCCCTGCCGCCCACTGACTGGGTGCTGCTCTGGGCCTCAGTTTCCTCATCTGTACACTGGGGACAATGACAGCACTTACTCACTGAGCAGTTAGTATGTGTGAAGCAGGTAGAAGAGTGCTTGGTGTGTGCAAATAGTTCCATAAATGTTTTCTGTGGTGATTATTAGGAGGCAGTTTATGTAAATGAGTCAGTTGAGTTGAATGAGATCCCACCCAGCTGGGTATCTGTACCCTAGCACACTGCGGAATTTATTTAGGTGCTCGATAAATGTTTCCTTATTTTTTCCTTTTGATCTTACATACAGGGTGGGATTTGGAAGCTCTTCTTTCAGTTTCATGTGTCTACTTTTAATTTCCAGGCAATGGAAACCAGCAATAAGCAGAAAGAATTTGAAGAAACTGCAAAGAGCGTGCGCTGTGCCATAGAGCAGCTGGCTGCCCAGGACTGATGCCCCTGCCCTGGTCACTGCTCCCAAAGTGGGCTTCGTCGCTGCTGAGGCGCGTTCCCCTGCCTTGGCGTTTCTGTGGGGAAACGGCAGCATTTAGAAATTAGAATGTTCAAGTATACTTTTTTTTCTTCTTTAAAGTGGTGCAGGGCTCCTTGTGTTTGTGCAGCGGGTGCCCCCTTCTCTGGTGGCCTTTGCTGTGTTGGGCCCTGGGCTTCCGAGGGTGAGAAGGCAAAGTCGTTCTGGGGGTAGAGCCTTTCCTGGCAAAAATGTTTGGGCTTCACGTTGACAGCCGGCTCTCCAGCCCGAGACTTGTTGTGTGAGTGCCATTATAGGTCCACTGTGCTTGGACAAATAGAGAATTAAGGATACCATTTAAATTTTATTTGCCTAATAATCTAAATTTATAGAGTGCATTTCTTGTGTTTCAGATACTCTGTTATTATCTCGCTCTGACATTGACAGGTCCTGTGACCCCCCCTTTGAGCCGCCCCACCCCGGCCTGTGGTCCTGCAGCAGCCTCCCGTTACTCCAGAGCAGAGTGTACGAAATCACATCCCTGCCAAAGCTCTCAAGTGCCACGTGGGGTAGGGCTTTCCCGCCTGTCCCATCCCTTGTAACGTGCAGGTTCCCAGAGGGAGAAGCAGCGGCCCTGGGCCCAGGCTTCCTCGGGACCTGATGTGTGCCAGAGCCCCTGCACAGCAAGCCTGGTGGCTGGGGCGCGGAGCAGGATGTCTTCAGAGTAAAGCCAGCCTCTTGCCTTGAGGCCATTTGAAGATACTTCCTCACCTCCAGTGGGCACATGGCAAGGTTGCTGCATTTCCCTAAAACATGAGGAAAAGGGCTTTAATGCCAGATAGGCGGTTTTCAGGGGCCTGCTTCGTCCTCTCTGGGTACAAGAGCGCGCAGCAGCGTGGGTGCCTGCCCGGAGTCCTGCTCTGGACTCGCCGTGCTGTGTGGATGGGGCTGGTGGGTGCGGGATGAAAAGCCCGTGGAAGAGCTCCTGGTCGTAGTATTCCCGGAACTCTGCAAACAGCCATTTCCCATTAATGATGCGGATTAGGGGGCTGATAATTCACCGTCTTTCTAATGTGAATCTTCCTCAAGGAGGGCAATGGAATAAATCAGTTAATTGAAAAAGTGTATTGGAAAACCTCTTTTGGAAAAACTTTTATAAATAGATGACTTGCTTATATTGTTTGCAATATTTTAAGGTCATAAATTCAGTGATACTTGGGTTTCAACCCCAGTATGGACTAAGTAGAGTTTGAGCTACAGTAGTTAAAAACAAGGTGGTCTGCGACCCCTACTCCAGGCCCTGATTCTGGTGCCCCCAGCAGGATTCTTGCCGTGAGGGCTCAGCCCTGTGTTTGCTGAGTCCGAGCTGTGGTTTTCTCATCTGTAACACGGGGTCATATACCTCGCACTGTTTTGGCTGGCTTATTGTAGAACATGAGTTTTGTGTGAGGAGGGGAATTGAGACAAAGCCCTCAGCCGCTCTTAAGGTTCTGCAATGTTGCTTTTTTTGTTACAATTATTATGTCACAGAACAGCACAAACTTTTACAATTTGTATTGTACAAATACAATTTGATAAAATGATTTACAATTAAAAGTGAGCCCAAAGCCATTTCTAAATCGGTGGTGGAAACCAATGTGAACTTCAGGTGGATTTTAGAGAGTAAGGCAGCAGGAAGTGTCATCTAGATGAGTCTCATTTCTGAAATGGCTGTGCTGTTTGTTACACGGCCCTAGTGAGCCGCAGGGTGCACACTGGTTGCTGCCTCCCTGAGAACAGTGCAGTGGCCTGAATTGTTTTTAAATGACGGCTCAGAGATGTGGCTGCTTCAGGCGATCTGTCAGCCCTGAGTGCCCGTGTCTCCCTTGCTGTGTCATATCTGTGTCACGTGCTCTGCGCCACTGGCTCATGCGGGTGCCCTCTCCTCTCCAAGGCCAGGCGTGCCTCGTGTTAAAATGGTAGGTGATTTTCTCTCTCCCTCCTTGGTGGAGGTAGGCTGCAGGGTGGATCGTTACAGTCCTGGTGGGGAGCTCTGGACGTCATCCTGGTCCCTTGTGGAAAATAAAAATGATTCCATTTCAAACACTGCCGCAGACCCTGCTGCGTCCTTAAATGCTGTTGGCTTACATCGTGGTCCCTTCCTCGCCTGCTAACTGACCTTCCCACCCACGCGCTGCAGGAGAAGCGTGCTTTCCGGCAGAGACAAAGCCAGCCTTGGGTTCTGCAAGACCCGCTTGTTTGTGTCACTGGCCTCATTCCATGTATAAACCAGCCGTGGAAAATGTACCTCAACCTAATTCTTCTGCCACATCTCAGAGGGTGATGCGTATCTTTCCCTTCGAGCTTGGAGGATATTGCAGCGGCTCGTTGGGGGAGCAGAGCACCCCAGCCTCTGTCTCCATCTAAGCTGCTTGTTTTTCCTATTTGTGCCAGTCTGTAAATGGATATTTCATTTTAATAACTAGTCCTTGCAAACTGCCTTTGTGAAAAAGCTCAGAGAAAACTGTGATGGTCCTCAGTTCCTTTGCTCGGCGGGTGGCGAGGCAGGGCCTGGCGCTGCCCGGCTGTGCTGCGGAGCGAAGCTGGCTGGGGCTGACCCTCAGTCCGTCCTGCACATTATGTCATCTAGAAACTTACCTCCTAGAGACCGTGTTTATCACTGGACTGCAGTGGCCGTCAGCACCAGAAAGCTGTTAGACATCGTCAGTCAAGCCTTCAGCCATCGCTTTCTTTCAAACATACATCCGTTCTCAGGTTCCCGAGTCAGGCGGTGGTCTGGAAGGGGCTGCGAACGGTGAATGACGGTCAGTAGGGGGATTGACAGGTTAAAGCCCTGCAGGCCAGCCTTGGGAATCTGGACCCTCCACCTGCCTCAGGTGTGGAGAATAGAATGTCAGCCCACCAAGCCACGTGTGCCAGGCGGGGTGGTTGGTCGGCTGTCGCCTGCAGGCGGGGTGTGTTGTGCAGCCCAGTTTGCCCTGAGCTGGGGCGCCGCCACGAAGGATGTCTCTCCACCCTGGGTGAATCTAGCTCTTAAAGAACCAACTGATCTGTAGGTTTCTCTCCTCTGGGCTCAGTCTACAGCATTTGAACCTGTTCTCAGCTGACTGGGACCGAGCTGGGCGTGGCATCTGTAGTTATTTTCCGCCTGACCCCAAGGGAGTGACACCCACTTGCACACTCATGCTTGCACTCTGGGTGCTGTGCCCAGAGAGGACCCCCGCCACAGTGAGCTCTCACGGTTCTCTGTTTCCTGAGTGGCAGGGAGACAAAGGTCAACAAATAGCCACATGAGTGGTGAGTGTCTGTGGGAGCCCTGAGAAGACAGTGCGACCTTTAGTGGAAGCAGGAAAGAAGTGAGCCTTCTGTCCAGGCCCAGGCGGAGGCTGCCAGATGAGCAAGGAAGGAAAGGTGATGCAGGTGGAAACAACAGAAATGGACATTCTGGGGACTGCAGATGCACTCTGGCGGGGAAGGGGGCAGTGCCCCTTCCTGTGGCCTTGTTAGCAAAGCCCTCTCAGAGGCTGCTCGGCTACCTGGGCAGATGCTGGTGAATCCATGGTACCTGTGAGGAGCTCTTCATGGGCCTGGGAGTTCCTAGAGATGAGGCCAACCAGCTATGTGGCTGCCTCCAGGTCAGGGCCCCTCTCACAAAGGATACTGACTGTCAAGTCAGTGTAAAAAGTGCAGGTTTCTAACCTGTGACCTCAACCGTTGGAGCATCCTTTCGAGTGGTTGGTTTTGAGTATAGAATAGAGTTGTGAGTCTGCATGGGTGGATGAGCTTTATAATGCACCTGGAGAAATGAATGGACCTGCTGGGTAATTTAGTGAGGCTCAGTTTCTGTTGCAGGGGTGTTAGGTAAATGCAGTGAGATTAGCTGTGTTGTAGCTGATGCTGCTGACAGTAATTTCAGCACCAGTTTCGGCTGCTTCCCCAGTCCCTCGTGGAGGCAGCGTGCCCTGCCATTAGACTGGAGCAGGAGGCTCATCTGCCCCAGGGCCAGTGCTGGGATCAGGCATCTTGTTCTAGCTCCTGATGAGTCAGCTGAATATAGGTTTAAAGAAAAGAGGCTTAGGAGCCCTGTTTATCACTTATAATTGGAATTTCTTCCATCAGAACATCCCTCCTGCCCCTGATGCTGGCTTCCAAGAGGCCCTGACAGCCTGGGTATGGGCTCCGTGCTGGCCAAGTGGTTCACCAGTTATAAGTTGGTGAAAAGATTAATAATGGAAAATTATTCTTAGGTCATTCTAAGGCGGTACCTTTTCATAACTGGACTAGGGAATAATTTGGGTCCATCTCAAGGGAAGTAAGCTGGTAGAATTCATCAAAGTAGCCTCTCAAGACTGGCACCTATTGCCTAGGGAACAATCCAGCCAGTGGCTCTGATTGCACATCTGGGGTTTAAAATGCTGAATCAGGGCTTTAAAGCAGATGGGGTGTAGATTGCTAAGCTGGCCATCTACCCTGAAACATGGTGGGGCAGTATTGTCTCTTCCTCTATGGAGATGTGGAAACAGTGGCCTCGAACAGCACACTTCCCTGGCCCTGACAGCTGAATCTGCTCTGTTTAAGCTGTATGGGGGTGCAAAGGAGACTTTCAAACAAGCTCAGGCTGAGAGGTGGGGCGTCACTGGCGAGGAAGTGTGTGGAGCTTGCAGCCAAAAGGGGGCTTCTCAAGTTCTCTGTAAACCCAGTCAATTCCTACCCTAAACACACACAAAAGGAAGTTCTGACTGAACTGAAGTGGTATTGATCCTTGTGGGATAAATGTTAGAGTCCTTATCCACCCCTCTTTCCCAGCTGTCAGAGCTTGGGGCTGTTCTCCGGCTGAGGCCCTGCTGCATCCCACCTCCCCTCCTGCCTGCTGCGCTAGATACGTGGGTGCCACTCTCTGAGCACCTGTCTGCCTGCTGAATTCTTTCACCTTCTAGACCCAATGTTCCTGAGAGAGAAGGGCCACTGGCTGCCACCCTGCTTCCAGAGCAGGGGCTGGGGGCATGGCTGTCAGGCACTGAGGGCCCACAGGCCTGCTGCTTGCCCCAACCCAGCCATGGGTGCGGTGTACAAAGAGGGACTGCCCGCACAAAACCCGAGCAAGCCCCTGCCGGCGTGGCTGAACGCTGCTAAAGTATTGCTTGTTATCTTGCTATGGTGGCTTTTACTTCCTGACTAATCCTCAGACTGGGAAGAGCCTGGTAGAAAAGGGGCTGAAATAAAAAACACCGAAATGAGAGTCCTGGAATGAAACTTGGTGGAGAAGGGCCGCCCCAAGGATTTGGGTCCCAGCCTCCTACCCTGGCTCCGCTGGTTCTGCCGGTTCTGCCGGTTCTGCCCTGCCCCAGAGGCAGCGACAGATAGTGCGGGGATCCGAGACTGGACGTGGGACGGGCCCACCACGGCAGCCCCCGCCTGTCCCACCCATGTGCGTGGCAGCCTGCTCCTGGGTGGGACCCTTTGTGGCTCCTCTGCCTCTCACCCCACTAATGCCTGACCCCTGACCAAGACACTTCATGGGTGTTTCTGAGTGGTGGACAGCAGAGGCCCACCTTGCCCCATGGGCCATTTTTAATTAGGAGCCAGTCCCAAGCAAGACCTCTTCCTCCTGTAGCCTGCTTTCCAGCCTGCCTAGCGCCCTTTGCCCACCCGTCACACCTCGCTGGGTCCCTCTGCTTGGTCCTGGAGGCTGGCTAAGACCAGGCCAGTGGGGCTGCCCAACCCCACCCGCTGCCATGAGGCTGCCAGCCAGGACAGGGCGGCTGCTGCCTGCTGAGACCCTCCCGCCCCCCAACTTGGCCATTTGGGTTCAGAGGGTAAGCAAGTTCCCCGGGGTCTCACAGCCATCTGCCCCTTGTTGGGGGACACTGGTATTTAAACCCAGGTCAGGGGACGTCTGTCTGTGGCCCAGGGACGACCCCTTTCCCCAAGGGCCGAGCGGATCTCCCTGAGCAGAATCAGTTTCCCTGCGAGCCAGAGGGCGGGAGGAAGGGGGCCGCTGTGCCCAGAGGGGCTTCAGGAACCGTCGCGCCCGCTAGCTTGCTAAGGCCCCCTGTCCTCGCACGCCCCCCCGACTCCCCAGTCCCCGCGCACGGGTCCGGCCGGTCCGGTTGGGCGCGCTGCTGGGGGCCGCGGGGGCCCGCGACTACCGGTACCTCCCGGAGGCGGCGGGCGCGGGCGGCGGCCCGGGGCGCGCGGTGTAGGTACCGCGGCCGCCAGGCTCGGGGCACCAGCAGGACGGCAGCCCTACACCCGCTTCGCCTGGACTCCGGCCCCGCGCCCCTCCTTCCCAGGGCAGCATTTCCCTCTGGTGGGGGTGGGGGGTCTCTCGCACGCCTTCCCAAACTGGGCGGTGAGTCGGGGTGGACAGAGCGGCCCCCGAGGACCCGAGAGCCTGCGGAGCAGGAGCCCCGGGGCAGCGCCTGCCTTCACCTGTGTCAGCAGCGGTGGTGCATCGCTTGGTGGGGGGCCGCCACCCCGAGGCTCTCCGGCGCCCTCAGCCCCTCCCACTGGATGACCTCCAAGCCCTGGTTCGTCAGATGGGGAGGAAATGATGCTCCTCAGGATCCAGGCTGTGGGGTGGAGTGGGAGTCCTCCCCCGGGGAGTGCCCCCCAGCCTCCCCACCCCCATCCCCCACACTAGGGGGCACTCAGCTGTCTTCCTCAAGGAGGGGGCCCAGGTGCGGGGAGTGGAGGGCACCTGGAAACGCCACGGGTCTCATCCAGGTGAGCCGGAGTTGTTCCTTGATTACTGTCCCCAGGGTTTGGCCTGGCAGCCCCATTACCCTCTGCTCCCAGCAGGCAGAGCCCGGCTATGGGGCAAGGCCCCTGTGCCCCCCACACCTCTGTTGGCCTGATATGTGCCACCTGTGTTTCAAACCTGGCCAGGGTTTGCCAGGCTCAGGAGAAAGCAAGGTGTTCCTCAGCCAGGCCTGAGTGAGGGGTGGCCGCAGGCCGGGGGGCTCTCAGCTGCCTCCTCACCCAGCTGGGGCCACCTGGGTGGCTTCCCCTGCACAGGGGAGCAGTGGGGGCAGTGAGTGTGTGAGGGTGAATGTGGGCATGCATGTGAGTGCGAGTGTGTGTGTGATGTGAGCTTGCAGGTGTGCGTGAGTGTGAGCATGTCTGGCTGTGTATCAATATGAATGTGTGAGCACATGTCTGAGAATACAAGCAGTGTGTAGGTGACTGTGACTGAGTGAACATGTGTGTGAGCCTGTGTACAGGTGAATGTGTGTGAACACCTGTGTGTGTGATATGAATGTGAGTGTGTGTGTCAGTGGCTTCTGGAGCAACAGACAGCTGTCTGTCATCCACTGGACAGACTGCCTAATGCTCCAAAGCCCTCGCATCTGGTGCATGTGTGCCCGTGGGCATGTGCATGTGTGGCAGTCAGAGAGCCCGTGCTGCAGGCACCTTTGTCCTGTCCTGGCAAGCCTGACCTCCCAGGGGGGGCATACTCGGGGAGCCGGGCCTGCGGGCAGCCTCTCCAGAGCATTTGCAGTTTTAGGCAGGCATCCGTGCGGGTGCTGCTTGTACATTACAAACACAGAATGAGAGGTCTTGCGCCCTCCAAGCCCATTTAGAGCCCCAGCTCTGAGTTCCAGGAGAGAATCTGATGGCCCCATGGCCACTGGTCAGTCCACTCAGCTCTGGCAGAGAGCAAGGGTGTGCCTCAGGCCTGCCTGCAGGACCACCCGTCTTGGAGAAGGAAACCCCAGAGGTGTCCAGCCCACCAGGCTTCACATCCTTTCCACTTTTTAGGGCAGAGCAGCTGTATCCCCTTGATTGACCCCTTTGCCAGCAAGAGCCTGGACTTTCCTACCTCTGTGCTGCCCCTCATCTGTGAGTCCTGGGTGAGGTCACCCTCTCTTCCCTAATTGCCAGGCAAGGTGGGATCAGGGCTCATCCTAGACCCAGAGGATGGCTTCCAGCCTAGCCCTGCCCTTGCCCAGAGGGCATTTCCGGACTACTTGAAAACTCCTGGGGCGGCCGCGGCCCCATGCTCTGCTGCTGGCTGGTAGCCACAGGCGCCTACTCCTGGCCTGTCCCGCCCCCCTGTACCCCTTCTGGGTTCTCCTTTATGTCTCCAAATGGGTCCTCCTGGTGGGCATCTCTACCTGGTGGGCTAGGGGGCCCTCAGTTGCTGCCCCAGAGAAGCTTGGTTGGTTGGAGAAGGGCCTGGGAAAGTCTCTCTCCTGGGCCTCAGGAAGCCTGTGCCAGGACAAGAGGTGGCCACTGACCCTCCCCAAGGAGACGTGTGCGACCTGCGGAGGTGGACCTGCTTTGGGGGAGGCCCGGGTCCCTGGCCGCACCCTGAGTGTCCCTCCTGGCAGCACTGCGCCGAGCCTCATCCTTGCTGTGTGTGGCTGGGTCTGTGGCCTCCTCGGTTCCCTGGCCCAGAGCGTCCCTCTGCTGCTCTTCACCGGCTGCTACTACTTACTGGGGGGTGAGTCTCGGGGCCCTAGGGGCTGCAGGTCATGGGAGCAGGTGCTGCCTCTCCTGTCACCCTGTCCCCGACTCCCCTCTGGGCTGTGCTAGAGCCAGGCCCACCCTAGGGATTGGGCTGCAGCAGGCATAGGCACTCTGGGTGACACAGGGGCCTTCACAGGGGCAGGGACAGAGCTTCCAGCTGTGAGACAAAGCAAGGGACGGGAGGAGCCCCAGGGTTGAGCTTCCAGGCACAGCGGGCACATGGTTCTGCAAGGCCAGCCTGGGACCTGACCTGCCGGGCCTGTTCCCTTCTCTCTCCTGGACTGTCCTGGTAAGGGAAGCAAAGGTGGCAGGGGCTTGGCAGGGGCCCCGTTATGATGGGGTAAGAAGAGGCCTCAGAGTTCTTGGCAGTGACCCCAACCCAAGCCCAGACTGTGACTAGTAACGGTTTATCAGCTGGCAATCATCCCGGCTGCGCCACACACTCCCAGGGGATCCTTCGGACGCTGTGCTGTGGGCACTCGGGTCCCAGCTGACACATCTGCGGAGTTGCCAAGGGCAGCAGGAAGCTGGTCCTAGAGCTCCCTTCACTGCTTTTTGGTGTCATCTGCCCCAGCCAGCCACCCAGTGCTCCCAGCTGCCAAGGCTGGCTGTCACTGACGGTGGGCTGGTGGCCCCTCGGGTCAGTCCTCAGTGGCCCCTGCTTTCTGGGCCAGGCCTGAGCAGTTTGGTGTCCTGACTCAGGAATGAGACCACTCTGGCCCTCCCAGGGGATGCTGGGCCCTTTGGGAGGCCTTGATCACCAGGGAGTAGGCGGGCCTGCCTGGCACCAAGAACCCCAGGAACCAGCAGCCTCGGGGTTTGGTTTAGAGAATGAAATCCGGAGAAATCCAAACGTCAGTTGTGGTCTGACCCCAAAGACCATCTGTGTGTGTCCAAAATTCAATTAATCAGATCTTAGGGAGACACTGAGATGAGTAACTGGGTGGGATTGTGACCGGGAAGCTTTAGGGTGACAAGAGACGTTGGCATGATCGGAACCACGGTGCTGGCCAGTGGGTTGGGGGAGGGTCCCTGCTCCGAGGGGGGGAGAAGCTGGGGGGCAGGCAGCTGACCTGGTTTTAAGAATACCCGCCTGTTGCCCTTGCTGGGGGTCCAGCCTGACTGCACGGCTGCTTTCCTCGCATGGCGGGTTCTCTGTGGAAGTCTCACTGTCAGGAGCCCCCGCAGGTGACCCCAGTGAGCCAGGGCTGGCGGATGAACCGGCTCTAGGGAAACGTCATGCCACGGGGACCTGCCTGAGGTCAGACCCTCCCGCCAGCGATGCCCCGCAGCCATCAGCATCGCAAGAAAGGGAGGGACACCGAGGGGTCCGGGATAACGCTGGCTGGAGGGGGCGCCCTCCCCTGAGATGATGTGGGGGCAGATGGGCTCGGAGTGGTGGCTCGCCGCCTTTGCCCAGCTCGCCCACTCAAGGGAGCTGTTTGAGACAGCTTCCGGAGGTCTGAGGCTCGGGGAGTGGCCTGGCAGGAGCTGGACCCGTGTTCCCCATCGCAGGGAGAGTCTGGGGCTCCACGTACAGGACCCAGCTTGGGAGCTTACTAGGCACCCCTTACACCGGCAGAGCGGCAGGTCCTGCCCTCAGCCAGGCTGGACAGAGGCAGCTGGTGGCTTGGAGAGGAACTCAGCTGCTGGGACAGCCTGGGTGGTGGGGAGAGCAGTGACTTGGCCAGGAGCTCTGACCACTGCAGGCTGGGACAGACATCTCTGTTTCCGGGCCCCCAGCTGCATGAAAATTCCCCAAGGAAGGAAAGGTGTCTTCCAGTCCCGGAGTGCATTTCAGTTGACTCGGCTTCGTGGCCTCTTCCTGAAATGAGACCCTGACTCCTGCTGTGGCTCTGCCCAGCGCTAGGCTGGCGGCTGCCTGTCCGTCCTCCCACACACCCCCACTGCCACCCCCAGCCCGTTCCCATCTTTGATCAGGTGGGGAATCACAGAGGACCAGGGGGAGAGTCAGGGAATGTGGGGACCCTGGGGCTGTGCCCCTTCTTGAGACCCCAATGAGATCCAGACCTGGCCCTGAATGTCGGCTCGCTCAGCCTCCTGCCCTGGCTTGGCAGTGTCCAGAGGGACCCTGTGCACCCAGGAAGAGCTGTGGAGCCCTGCCTGACCCTCCCTGCTGTCAGCATCATGAGCAGCCGCTGGCATCAGCCTGCACCTGTGGGCCTGGGGGTGGCTGGTCCTGCGCCCAGGTGACAGGATGGTGTTCAAGGGCCCAGCTCTTTGCCTGGAACCACTGGACAAAGGGGCACCTGGCACCCTGCAGACTGAAGGAGGCGTGGAAGGGAGAGGGCTTTCGGGTCTGGGAAGGACAGTGGGGATGGGAGCTCCCCCTGAGGGCTTGAGACTTAGACCTGGGGCTGGGCAGAGGGCTTCTAGATGGTGAGGTACTCAGGCTAGGGCCAGAAGCGGGGAGGTGGTGGCCCAGTGAAGTGGGGAGAGGGAGCTTCGAGGAAGATGGGCCGGGTGGAGGTCAGGGGACTGGTTCAGGGTGCCAGGTCAGAGCTCTGGAGCCCTAGATGCCAGGAGAGGTGACTATTCACACATGTACACACGTGCACATGTATGTGGGGGGACCACATGTTGAGGGTGTAGGTGCTGCTGTTCTCACAGGGTCTTGTTTGGTCAGGCCCTGGGGCTTGGCGACTGAACAGGAGCCCCCATTCCCCGAAAGGCCAGCGGGCAGGGGCTGCCAAGACCATGTCTGCAGGACCACCTTGGCCAGGCACCCCCAGCAGGCAGACACACTGAATGGCAACCTGCACCCCTCCAGGTGCCCTGACCCTGGCAGGGGTCAGCATCCATCAGCTACTCACACCTGACCTTCACCGAGATGGTCCGCCAGTACGGCCTCCAGCGCGTGCAGGGCGTCCACATCAGCTTCGGCTGGTCCGCAGCCCTGGCCTGGGGCTCCTGCACCTCAGAGGCGCTGAGCAGTGTCCTTCTGCTCTCGGCAGCCGGAGCCCTCAGCGTGAGCCAGCGGCTGGGCACCTCCCACTCTGTGCTCATCTGAGGCATGGCAGACAGGTAGTGGGGGACAGGGCCTCAGTTTCCCTTCACATCTCCTGGATGGGTCAGAGCCCAAAGGCCTGGCTGGGAGGGGGCTGCTGGGCGGTCCAGGTGCTGGCGGGGAGGAAGCTGGGGAGAGGGCCGAGTGCCCCTGGGATTTGCAGGTGCAGGGGAACGACATGCTGGGGGCACTCCACCCCCTGTCCTTGTCGGTGCAGCTGCCACTCCTTCAGGGCCCAGGCCTCCTGAGCTCCATACCTGTTTCTGGCAGCTTCCTAACTACATGCACCTGGGGTCTAAAACGTAACACTCTTAACTGAAGTCACCAGTTTACTCTTGCAAAGCCAGTCCTCCTGGAATTCCTACAGGCTTCTAAAACATGCACGTAATGGCTTATCTTTCTAAAGATAAAAAAAATGTTTAAGACAAACACACAGTCATATCCATGCACACACATTTATACGTGAATATATATGAAATATCCAAATATGTTAGTGGCGGTTATTCTTGGGTGATTTTTTAAAATAGATTTTGTATCGGTCTTCTGGTTGACCTCAGTTGACCTTCTGGTTGACGTTGGTCTTAACCACCAAGTCTGCCTTAATTACCCCAGGAGTTGCTCAAACTAAGATCCAATCCCAAATCATTTACAGTAAAGACGTTCTTTTTTATTATTAAGGTATCATTGATATGCACTCTAATGAAGGTTTCACATGAAAAACAATGTGGTTACTACATTCACCCATATTATCGAGTCCCTCCAAACCCCAATGCAGTCACTGTCCATCAGTGTAGCAAGATGCCACAGATTCACTATGTGCCTTCTCTGTGCTACACTGTCTTCCCTGTGATCCCCCACACATGTGCACCAATCATAATACCCCTCAATCCCCATCTCCCTCCCTCCCCAACATCCTTCCCTGCCCCCTCCCCTTTGGTAACCACTAGTCCCTTCTTGGAGTCTCTGAGTCTGCTGCTGTTTTGTTCCTTCAGTTTTGCTTCATTGTTATGCTCCACAAATGAGGGAAATAATTTGGCACTTGTCTTTCTCCGCCTGGCTTATTTCACTGAGCATAATGTCCTCCAGCTTCATCTGTGTTGTTGCAAGTGGTAGGATTTGTTTCTCTCTTATGGCCGAATAGTATTCCAGTGTGTATATGTACCACATCTTCTTTATCCATTCATCTGCTGATGGACACTTAGGTTGCTTCCATATCTTGGCTACTGTAAATAGTGCTGCGATAAACAGAGGTGCATTAAAGACATGTTCTTTTGTAAGAATAAAATTTTATTTCTTAAGAGGAAAATCTATATTAGATGACTGCAAAATAAAGTGCCACCCTCTCATGCCACAACACTTGTCACCATCCAACGAGGATGTCCCTTTCTGATGTCCTCACCTGCTTCCTCCCCCACGGCCCTGAACACAGGATGCTCTCATTGGCGGTGTGGCTCTGAGCAAGTGGCTTGGATCATTTTCCCCTTTTGTGGGCTGGGAGCCTCCTGGGCTGTGGTGGGGACCACACCTGTCCCTGGATGCTTGGATACCCTGTCCCCGACACAGGAGGCACCCAGGGCTTGCTGAACAAGCACAGGTGGAAGGTTTCACCCTAAGTTTGGGAAGTAAAGGGGTCCAAGGAGACAAGGGGATAAAGGCGTTTTATAGCCTCGCCTCCCACGTGCTCCCTTGGGACACCTCCATTCCCCACCTGGATCCCAGCCAGGGCGCAAGGTCCTGTCACCCTGTCCTCAGGGCCCCAGCTGCGTCAGCATGAAGCCCCACTTCCTCAGCGCCAGCTCGGTGTCCTGTGCCGAGATGTTGCGGTGCCACACAGTGTGCGCTGACCGCTCTGTCTAGGGGAGCAGCAGCACACACATGGCGTGGCCGGTCTGGGCCACCTCCTCAGCGCTCACGGTCTGCAGGCGCTGGCACAGCTCCTCAGGTGGCATCCCATCCACCTGCACCATCACCATGTTCGTCTCCACGGCAGGGAGTTCCACGGAACAGATGGGGGACACCAGCTCCTGCAGCCCTGGGCCCAGGTCCCGCCGTGAGCACAGCCCCATCCCAGGACCCTGCCTGTCCCCATCATCCTGCCCTGTCATCCCAGGAAAGGCACTGGGCAGCCCAGCTGTAGTGGGAGAAAAGAGGGACCCTGAATCCCGACATGGCCTTTGGAGTCACACAGACTTGGCTCTGCTACTTTGTAGCTGTGTGACCTTGGACAAATCAGTTAATCTCTCTGGGCGTGTTTCCTCTTCGGTAAAGGAGGGACAGCACAGGGTTGTTTCAGCGATTCAGTAATGGATGTAAAGAGCCAGGTTGGAGGCTCCACTCCGCCAGATCTTGCAGAGAGTAAGAATCACTGACCCCGCTGTGCACACGCCAGTCTGGGTCACCGCCGAGTGTGGTCCAGCGGAGCACCCTGACTGCCTGGGCCCCACCCCTGGAGGCTCAGCGGCTCGCCTTCCTGCTTTAGAGTTGGAAGGATGTGTACTTCCTGGGGATACAGGCCCTGCTACGGAGACCCCCAAGACAGAAAGAGGATGAGGGCGGGCGGCTGTGGGCGAGGCACCCTTGGCGAATCTCTGGGCCTTCTGGTGGTCCCTCTGCAGCGCCTGCTCAGCGTCAGCCAGTCCCACCAAGGCAGCTGCAGCCAGCACCCCTGCCTGGTGCATCCCCCTGCCCAGGGCTTTCCGGAGATGCCAGGCTTCTTCAATGAAGTGCTTGGGTCCCCCAATCAGGGTCCCCACTGGTGCACCCAGGCCCTGGGAAGAAGAAAGGAGAGTCCTGCCTGCCGGCCCCAGGGGTGCATCTCTGTCCTTGGGTGTAGGGGAGGGGTGTGTGAAGGGCACAGGGAAGCACACACACTGGCCCTATCTGGAGAGGGGATATAGGGGTCCAGGGCCAGTGGCTGCCAGCAAAGGAACTCAGGAACCCAACTCTGCCTCCTGCTGTGGGCACCCCCACCCTCCTGTGTCTGGGGGGGCAGCCCAGCAGCCTTCCCACCTTGGAGAAACAGAGACACAGAGTCGCAGTGCTCCACGAAGCAGGCAGGGGGCACGTGCAGAGCCACCGAGGCGCTCAGCAGCTGGGGTCCGTCCAGGTGGACGCGGACCCCACGGCTCTGGGCCAGGAGGTGCACCTGGGGCGAAGTGCAGACAGTGGTCGGAGGGGCCAGGCTCGGAGCAGGGGCAGAGGGTGGTTCTGCCCAAGGCCACCAGCCCGGCTCCTGGACGAGCCACAGGGGGCTGCAGTCAGGAGAGCTGGCTGGTGACTGACATGGCCACCTGGGACCTAGGAAACCGCTTGTGCTGCGGAGCCTGGGTACTGTCCTCTGTTGTGGGGACTGAAGATAAACGTTTTCTCACATTTATGATGGGCTCACTGTGGGCCAGTGCTCACTGTGGTCCGAGCCGTAAACACGTCATCTGGTTTGAGCTGCACCACAGCTCCGTGAGGGAGATGTCCTCAGGCCCGTTTCACAGGCAAGGGCTGGGTCTGGAGCGTTAGTGCTGGAGTTCCCATGCCAGTGAGCAGTGGGGCTCAGCACCGGCACACTGCTGGTAAGGCCCGGGCGCCAGCTGGCACTTCTCTGGGGCTCGGCGCCTTGGCTTGTCTCTGCTCTTTTGTGGGAAGTGTGGGTACTAGGGGCAAATAATTTCCTTTGTATCAGCCTAAGACCACACGTGTCCCTCCTACAGCAGTTCTGGTGACTATTGGGCACCCCAGTGTGTATCAGAGCAGAGTGAATTCCAGGAGGGGACAGAGGGGGTGCACAGGAAGCTGGGAGCTGGCTGGTGGTGGGGCACAGTGGTAGGGCTGGGCCTACCTGGCGTAGGTAGTTGATGGGTAGGACCCGGCCCCCTGAACTGCTGTGGGTGTTCTCCAGACAAACGAGCTCACAGACTGTGTGGCAGGGGCTCCCAAGGCCCCGTGTGACCATCCTCTCCAGCTCAGCCAGGTCCAGGGTGCTGTGGGGCAGGTCTGGGAGGGGGTGGGAGTGCACCCCCACGTTCTGCAGGTACAAGGGCAATGGAGAATCAGGTCTAGGCGTCCAGTGGCAGCCCCTACCTCTGTCCTGTCTGCTCCTCCCTAGCCTTCCCCCTGTGCTGTGGGCTTGGGCACAGACATCCCAGCTAAGGAGGGTGAGCAAAGGTTCTGAGTTCTCCAGAGATGGTGTCTGCCCACCCTAGGCGCCTGGTGCTCTGGGTTCCCACTAGGGGGCAGCAGGGTACCAAGCAAGGCCAGTGTCCCAGCAGCTGGCATGAGCACAGATGCCCCCTTATGGTCGATCTGGGCAACGGCTCTCCTTCCCATCTTCCTGCAGAGTCCACCATCCCAGGCATTTCTCCCCTCTGCAGGCAAACACCAAAAGTGCTGAGCACCCAGCACGGCCCCAGTGAGGGGTGCGGGGTCCTTACCTGAGCCACCCCACCCTGCTTGTAGATGTGGAGGTGGCTCTCCTGCCCAAGGAGGAGCTGGGAGCCCCGGCGCCGGCAGTGACACATCACTGGCATAGACGGGTAGAGGGCAGTGTTGGTACCAAGTCCCACGGGGCCCATGCCCGCAACCCCAGCCCGAGCTCCCTTCCTCCCCAGGTCTAACACGCCCATCCTGCGAGTTGCCAGGCCTGCACAGCATCTTTTGCACAGGGAAGCCAGCCACAACACTGCCCTTTGGGGACAAGCAGCCAGGGGCACAGACATCAGTTGGCCACCACAGGAAACAGAAGGCACATGCACATTGGGAAACCAGAGTTTAATAAAGGGACAATTTACAAAGGTGTGGCAGCATGTAGGGGAATCATGAGGGACAGTGCAGGACCCCCAGGCTGGAAGGGGTGAGAAGAGGATGTGGTTATAGGAACCTGGAGACAGGGCAGTGTGGAGAGGGCTGCCTGCCTGGCCCAGGGAGAACCTGCAAGGAGGAAGCTGGGGGACGGGCATGAGCACGCTGACCTCACTCTCCACCCTTCCCTCATCTCCCACCAGGGGCCCCCAGGCAGCTCTGCTCAGGACGAGGCTGATAGTGCCGCAGCCCCCCAGCACCTAGGGACGCACGGAGCGAGGACCTGGAGCCACCCCTCGCTCACCAGAGATGAGGTTGGCCATGGTGTTGGTGGGCACAAACAAAGTCTGCTCCACCCCCAGCAGCGTGGCAGCCCTTTTCTGCAGCTCTGAGCAGGGGGGAAAGAAGGAGCGCAGGGAGGCTCCGTCAACAATGGCGCTTGCTCACAGCCACTTTTCAAAGTGTTCTTGTGTTACAATCATGAGCCCATGTCTACATGCGGGCACTTTGCCCAAGGCTGTGGGGGGGACAGAAGCCCAGGCCCACCAGCTGCAGGCTGTGGTCCTGGTGACCACAAATCCAGGTCCAGACGTCCCTCATCAACATTCTGTGCCACCTTGTCCTGGGCCACAGTCTCCCCCCACATTGAAACTTTGTGGTTTGAACCCCCCCAGACCCCACACCTGTCTCACTTCCTTTCCCATCAGCCCCTTGCAGGTGGGGCCCTGCGGTTTATTTGCTGACTTCCTCTCCCAGAACAGGACGGGAGCCTTCAGAAGCAGAGGCTCTGGGGGGCTGGAGGGGAGTGGGCCTTCTGGCTCCTGCTTTAAAGACTGCTCCCCTCTACCTGTGGTATCAAGCCTGAAGTCTTCAGCATGGCATTCAAGGCTGGCAGAATCTGGCCTCCACTTCCCTGTCCAGGGACAGGAGTGTCTCCTGCATGCCACGCTCCAGCCACATTTCCTGTCTGTATCCTGAGGGTCATTCTCACTGCCTTGTGAGCCAGCACTCCCTTCCCTTCCAGGGTACTCCACTCCCTGTTTAAGAGAGCTCCTCTGCAAAGTCCCTATTCCCTGAGAGTCCCACACCTCCTCAGCCCTCAGTCCCCAAATCACTCTCTGGCACTGTCCCCACCCCAAAGGCAGTGTCTACGCATCAGGCTGCCTGCTGAGCAGTGGGCTCAGGGTCTTTGAAGTTCCAGGCAACAGTGGGTGTCCACTGGATGCATGATTAGCTCCAGTCACTACTTGACCCCACAGACAGGCCCTCAGGGCAACCTTGTGGCTTATGTGTGGCACAGTTAAGAGTCGTGCACACCCCAGCAAGAGCATTGGTTCACTATGGCAGCAACCCTCAACCCAGGGTGGGGGTGCCAGTCACCGCATCTTGAAAGCACTTTAGAGGCCTCTCCTTGGGAGATGCACCCTGGGGAGAAACCCCTTTTCTAGATGGGTTTTGTTTGTCTTTGTGTGGGAAGGCAGTGGGTGCAGGACAATAGCTGTAGGTTTCAGAGCGAGAAGACCTTGGTTTAAATCTTGCTTTGCCATTTATGGTATGGGACCTTGAGCACTTCGCTTAGCATCTCAGAGCCCCACTGCAAGATGGGGTAACACTCACATCTTCCAGCACTTGGGCAGCACAAATCACCTGGTGGTGCTGTTATCATGCAGATTTTGGCTCATCAGGTCCGTGTGGGACCCGAGAATCTGCATTTCGAACAAGCCTGCAGGTGATGGGCCGGACTGTGCAGCGACCTGCAGCTGAACCGCCACCCCTGTGCCCGGGGCCACCTCTCCCGCCAGCACCACGGACAGCGCCCTGGGGTCGCTGCGACGACCCCTGGCTCCAGCCTGCCTGCACGTCGGGCTCACCGCGGACGGTGGGGTCCTCGCCGTAGTCGTCGTCCCCCACGACCGCCTCGGCCATGGAGCGCCTCATGGCCGGCCCGGGCTTGGTCATCGTGTCGCTGCGCAGGTCCACCACGTGCGTGGGGACCCCCGACTGGCTCCCAGATCCCCGCATCCAGAGGGCCCCGTGTCGCTGGGCCGCGGCCCGGGCCAGTCCTCGGAGCATGGCGGGGCAGCGCCCTGTCCCCCACCCCGACCCTTCCGGCGAGGGCTACCGGGAGCGGCGGGACTTCACTGACCTCGGCTACGGCTGACCGGGGCCCGCGGCATGCTGGGAGTTGTAGTTCGGGATTCGTCGTGGCCGGCGCAACGCGGAACGAACGTAGGGCCCCTCGGCATGCTGGGAGTTGTAGTTCTGGCTTCGTCGCGGCGAGCACGCCGCCAGGCCCCAAAGTGGGAGAGGTAGGGTTCCGCCACTGAAGAAACCCAGCCGTGTAGGCTTTACAGAGCACACGCTCATGTGGTTCTGCCGTGTGCTGTCCCAGGACACTGTCCCAGGTACTTTGCAAATGTTAGCACATCAGCTCTGGGAGACAAGTATGTTATCATCTCTGTTTTGCAGATGGGGAAACAGGCGCACCAAAATGAATAAACTGCCTAAGGTCACTTGGTGAGGAAGTGGTCGAGCCCAGCTGTCTCCAGAGCCCAGCTCTGAACCACTCTGTTATGCCGTCCCTAAAAAGTAGCTTCCCATCATTTACTTTGTTCAGTACTGATTTGTTGAGCACCTGCTGTGTGTCAGGCATTGTCTGGGTGACAGGCAGAGGGACACTGAGATGGTGCAATTGGTCCGAGCCTCTGATTTTGCAGGGCCTGATGGGAGGCCGACTTGGCAGAGCACAGAGATTCACTGCTCCCCCTGAGGGACAGTGTGGGGTAGCAGTGACTCAGGTCCCCACTTACCAAGTGGCAGCTTTGCACAAGCCATTTAGCCTCTGTGTATGCCTCAGTCTCCCTAACTGTGAAATGGGCTATTTTGAGGATTTGATGGCTTAATGCGTTTAGTGCTGACCTTGGTGCCTGGCAGGCAGTATGAGGTGTGAGTGTTCACTCTCTTAGGCTGTTGCAGTTGTCATCGATCTTGGTCACAGCCCAGGGCCCCAGGGCTTCGTGCTGCTGCTGTGGGGTGCACCCCGACTCAGCCTGGACTGGGCCCTTCACAGTGACCTTCCCTCGCCCAGGGAGGACAGGCCTCCACGTGAGTGACAGGCCTACTCGGTGGCTCCCTTCCTGGAGTGAGGCTGCGATGTCTGCACCCCATGGGAGGATATGGGCCCCAGTGGAGAGAAGCTCACCAGAAGAGGTACCCACACCTCCTGTCAGGGCATCCCTCAGCAAAGAGGATGCTCAGCCTTCATCAGACACTGACCTTCATCAGACCACTGTGCCTGCTCCAGGTCTGGTCTGGGGATAAAGGGGAGCAAGTACAGCCTGTCCTTGGAGCTCAGGTCCTCCGGGTGGGACAGGTTGCTGCCTGAGGGAGGAGCACTGGCAGAGAGGATGTTGGCATCAAGATAAACTGCAAAGGACTTGGTTGAGGCATCAGGGCAGTCTTCCTGGAGGAAGCAGTGATTGGGCTGAGCTTTGAAGTCAGAGCGGGGCGTTAATCAAAGGTAGAGGGGAGCGTGCCCCAGGCAGAGGGAACAGCATGAGCAAAGGCTCAGGGTTCGAGGCAGCTAGAGCATTTGAGGCCTTGAGAGGCCAGTCTGGTTGGAGAAGTGAGCAGGGGTGGAGGTGGAGCCCAACAACTACGTCCAGGGTCAGGGAGACATCCCTGGAGCTCTCCATCTCTGCCCTGTGTGGCTGGTGGGGCCATCCTGAAAGGGCAGGAATTGCACGTCCCAGCAGGGCCTGTGGTCCCAAGGACTCCCATCTGAAGGAAGGGCTCACTGTGCCCTCCCCCACCCAGCGCCCTTCTGGCCCTGACCCACAATCTCCACGGAATTCCAGGCCCTTAGAAAACAAGCCCCTTATCTCTGTGTCTGGCTCCAGTCCTTCTGCTGGGAAGTGGGGGGTGGGGAGCAGAGGCCTTTGTGAGCAGGAAGGGAGGGGTTGGGACAGTGATGGTGGCTCTCAGGGAGCAAGGGGCAAACAGCTGAGTCCCCAGGCACCTCCCAGCCACGACAGAGCCACAGAATGGCTTCTGTTTGCCAAGTCTTCCCGCCTGCAGCCTCCCTGTAAATCCGCACAACAACTTTGGACAAGGGGTCCTGGGCAGGGGGCTTAGAGCAATCCAAGAATGCCACCAAGGTGGCCCAGCTTGTCACCAAAGCAGGCGTTTCTGCTCCCATAGCCAAGCAGTCTTCCCAGTGAGCTGGCCTCTTCTTGAGGGAAGCTGGGGCCCAACAAAGGTTCCTTCTGCCAGGCAGCTGCTTGTCACCACCCATCTAGTCTCAGGGCACCTGGGCGAGCCCCACTTCGCTCCAAGGTACCTTACCCTAGTTGGGGCTCACCCAGGGTGGAGGCAGCAGGAAGGGTGGGCTACCACGGGAGAAGCGTGGCTATCTCTCCACAGGGCAATGAGGCGTGGTTCTGAGATCTTGTAGTGAGGGAGACCCTCTGACCAAGGCTTGGTCTCGGGAGGATTGTCCAGGCTCATGCATTGTGCGTGTGTGTGTGTGTGTGTGTGTGTGTGTATCTTGTATGTATGAATGTACAGTGTATATGTGTATCAGTATGTGTCTGCATGCATGTTGGTGTGTCTCTGCATGTGTGTGTGCACACATGTATAGCTTTGCTTATATGTGCACACGTGGGCACAGGTATCTGAACGTGTGTGTATGTGTTGGGGGGGTGCATGTGTGCATGTGCGTGTGCATGTCTGTTTTCCTGGCTGCATCTGAGATCTGCGTCATCCTGTTGAAAGCTGGTGACACTTCACAGCTCCAAGGCCAGATGAGAAGTCAGAAGCCCAGCGGACAGCCAGCCATACTTGCCCCCTCTCTGGAACCCCACATCATTGAGCTGACTCCCTTCTCTCTGCCTCTTCCCAAAAGGAGAGTCCAGCCCCCCTTGTCAGCTGCCATCCCTGGAAGGGTCTCAGGGTCATCACCTGCTTCCACGTAGACCTGCCTCACCCCACGTATGAGCTGCCCCCTCTTTCGCATGGCCACCACCCTTGAACTCCCCCACCCCTGCCCACTGCACCAGGATGCAGGTCCTCCCTTACACCACACTGCAGCCCGATTGCAACATTTCTGTTCCCCGAATGCGCTGGCCTCTCTTTCACCCCCAGATCTTTGCACCTGCGGATCCTTCTGCCCGGAAACCCCCAACCATCGGCGCATGTGCCTGGTTAGCATTTTCTCAGTCTTCAGTCTCAGCTGAGATGTTCCTTGTTCTGGGAACAAGTCCCCTGGCCACAGTCCAGTGGGACAGGGAGGTGGTCCCCCTTCTAAGGGGCCAGTAGCATCTCTTCTCCTCACTGCTCGAGGGTTATGGGCAGGAGCCAGGATGCCCTTGGCCTTTGGAGTGTCCTGTGTGTGCAGCCTGGCACTGGCCCACAGTGCTCAGCAGTGCCAGCTGAATGGCTAATGAGGGGGGACACACGGTCTGACTTCCCTACCCTAGGACCTCTGGGCAGCATGGACACCACTGCCATGTGTGAGGCAGGTGTCCCTATGCGAGAGGAAGCCAAGAATGGATGAGGAATGGACACTGGCTCTGCCTTGCTCTCTTCACAGGGGACTCTTGACCGGGATCCCCATTTGCCCCTTCCCTGGCCTTGAGATACCTACTTGCCACTCCCCAGAGCAGTGAGAGGACACTGGGCAGGCTGGTGGGAAGCAAAATAAGAGTCCTGGGGTGGCTGCCTCTCATGGCACCCCTGAGATCCCTGGCACCCCTCCAGGCACAGGCTCTGGGGTGTGGGCGCACACTCACACACGCACAAGCAGAGTTCAGCGTGCGTATTCCTGTAACGCTGGGCCACTGGCAGGAAGTGAGTGGCGGGGAGGCTGCTGCTGGGAACCAGGGGCTGGCCCCGCTAAGATAAAGGGAGGCAGCAGATTGGAACTGGAGATAGCGGCCCTGGGTCCTGGTAAACAGGGTGGGGGAAATGTCCTTCCCATCCCATCCTCTTGGCCTTGAGCCCGCAGGATCTATAGGGAGCTGGCCTGGCTCCAGGCTCAACAGCCTGGGAATCAAGGGAGAGCTGTTTGCACCTTCATCTCCCCAGACTGGGGGTTGGCAAAGGGCAGAGGGCTGGGCCCAGCCCTATGTCAAGGCCATGTGTGCTGGGAGGCAGGCGGCCTCCTCCAAGCCCCTGCACCTACCCCACTGTGGCGGGGAATGTGAAGGCCCATCAGAGAGGGTCACCGCAGTCATCTAGGGAACTCCAAACAGGGTGGGAGACCAGGAGAGAATGGGGCAGTGGGGGGTGGGGGCTGCAGCCACCCCTCGGCTGGCAGGCTCTGCCGACAGCCCATGGAGGGCGTGAGTTACGCAGCTGGGAGACCTTGTGCTGTCCAGGCCAAGGGAAAACCACAGGATTTCTACCTACACTCGTCAGTTCCTGGATCACGAGTGCTAAGGTGGGCTGGGTGGGAGTCTGCAGGGCCAGGTTCCCACTGCTCAGCATCATGGGTGCTCAGCTACAGTCATATTTTTTTTTAAGTTGTGAGATACCACACAATAAAACACAAAAAAGTGTATTTGTTCTTTGAAGTATATTTGTACAGTTTTAGTAGTAAATAGAAAATGAACTCCTGTGTTGTTACCACTCAGATCAAGAAATAGAACACAGCCAGGATTCCAGAAGTTTCCTTGCCATTCACACCCTTCCCTTTGCTAGAAATTACTGCTGCAGTCTGACTTTCATGATCCTTCTCTGCTTTTCTTTATGGTTTGGCCATCCTGGACGGATTCCTCCGTGATGGTTGCGGGCTGTTCATTTTTGAACGTGATATAAATTGAGTCAGCCTTGCGTGCCTGAATCCTGGTCAACTCATGCCCCCGAGATTCACCCGTGCTGTGGTTGTAGTTAATTCTGCCATGGCTGTGTGGCTTTCCACCGTGTGCCTAAACCACAGTTCATCTCTCCATTCTGCCTGTTTCGGGACCTTGGTTGTCTTCAGATTTCCTGTAGTAAGCAAGCCGCTGCACATGTGCGCACGGTTCTGTGGGACTGACGTCTGGGCAGGACTGCAAAGGCAGCCGATTCGTATCGCCAGCTTGGCTGGGTGACGCCAGCTATTTCCCAAGGGGGCTGCAATGATTTACACACCTGCCTTCCCACTGCCTGTTATCAGACCTCACGACTTTGCCAGCTCTGGGGATGTGTGATGGTATCTTTTGATTTCAATCTGCTTTTTCTGATACCTGATGAAGTTGAGCACCTTTTCTTATGGTTTAGTTATTCGGATCTCTGCTCTGTGAGGAGCCTGTCTTTTCCTGTTCATACATTATATTCTACAGTTAATAGTATGTATTGCAGAAGAATGTCCCCATTTCTCTGGCCTGCCTCCCCATTTCTGCATAATTCTTCATGTATTCCCAGTTCTTCATTTCATTAGTTAAATTTACCCTCCCCCACCCCCCATAATTCCTGTCTTGATTTAAGAACTCCTCCCCTTCCTCAAGGTCAGGGTCATATTCTCCTAATTACCTTCCAGGTTTGGAAGCTCTGCTTTTTCCTTTAAGCTTACACTTGTCGACTGATTATTTCCCTGCAGCCACTTGCCCCGGATTAGAGGGGGAGCTGCACCCCGGGTCTCCCCTCTGCTCCTTGGGCAGCTTGGCTGTGATGGCAGATGTCCACTGCGCCCCAGCCCAGGCCTGCAGGTCAGGACAGGGAGCAGAGGTTGGCTGCGGAGGACCTTGGTCAGAAGGGAGGGGGAGGGGTAGGAGACAAGCGCCACCGTGGCTTTAGGAATAAATGGTGGCCTTGGGCAAACCTTTCAGTCCCAGGAACCTCAGAGGGCCCAGCCCTTAATAGCTGCTGCTCTGTCCCCTGCCACTTCTCTCTGGCAAGGCTGGGACGCCCCTTCTTCCACCCAACACTGCCCCTCCATCCCTGAGGCCCGCTGCTGCTGCTGCCTCTCAGCGCTCCTCCCCAGACTGTGTGGGGCCGGGGGCTCAGTCTCTGGGGATTGGAGGTGCTGGGTCAGGGTCTGACCCCTTCCACAGAGGCATCCACGCCTTGGGATCCAGGAGGGGAGGGTCATCAGAGCTCCAGGTCTTAAGAGCTTCTCAGGGGCCTGGGGGCCTGTGGGTGCAGGAAAGCCCAGAGGGAAGGCCCGGCTGCTGGCTGCTTGGGGATTGGAAGGTGCTGGGTGGAGCAGCTGGAATCCTGGGAAACCCACAGGGAC